CATCCTTCTTAAGATGAGACCTTCAATGGGATATAACTATACATCTTTTTCTAAATTTCTGAGCTTAATAAAGTCATCTAGAATTGTACCTAGAGTTACACCATTGCTTTGTTGTCACTGTTTACCTCGATGCATTTCCTCATAATTTCTTCATATATTTGTCTTAGCACATTTGGTATGAGGTGTTCATTAGACTTTTTAAAATTTTATTTTATTTTTTCAGTGTTCCAAGAGCCAATGTTTATGCACCACACCCAGTGCTCCATGAAATACATGCCCTCCTTAATAGCCCCCACCAGGCTCACCCAAGCCCCCACAATCCACCCCTCCAAGACTTTGTTGGTCTTCAGACATTTAGACATCCTCTACTGTGTCTTACTTACCGTATAGGTCCCAGTCCCTCCATTATTTATTTTTAACTATTTGTTGGGAGAACTTATAAACAAAATCTTTTTGAATAAGGGATAATAGGGGTGTGTGCTATCTGGGTTTGCACGTGCCTACAATGTCTTTTCAAGAGTCATATAGGTGCAATTGTCAGGGTGTATAGAATTCAGATTCTCGGCCCATTTCCCTCAGCACTCTGTCAGCCTTGTTCCTCTGGCATCTACATTTAGGGCAGCAGGGAAGCAGGCCAGCGGCAGCCAGATTCTTGATCCTTGTTGGGAAGTACAGTTTTATGCTGTGGAAATCTCTATAGAATTCTTTTGGCATATATGATAATCACAACTTACCTTTGGATGGACTATACATAGGTAGGTCTTTTGGTACAATTCTTGCCTGGTGATTGATGAACATTTTATGAATCAACATGCAGAATTTCTGCTCAATGAAATGTTTTTCTCCTCCTTTGTTATTTGTCTTTCATCTGTTCTGTTTTCTTATCCTGAATTGTTTAATGGATTCCCGTGGTGTACCTCTTATGAGGTTTTTAATAACAAATTCTGTCTCTTGCTCTCTCTCCCTCTTCTTTTTTCCCTCTCAGCCTCAGAGAGAAACTTAAGTTCTTTTTATTTTAATAATTCAGTTTTAAGTATTTTTGTGTACTTTTAAATACTTTCTCTCCTGGATTTTATTTGATTGACAATGTCAATTTTTTCCCTAGGACAAATTTTAATCTCCCAGCCCCTTTTTCTGCTCCTAGCTTCTCTTAGATCAATGGCTTTTGTTATTATTGATCCAATAGCCTCCCAAATTCCACGCAGAACCCACTGAGATTTTTCTTCACTGTCTCACCATCTTCCTGCAGTAACTCTTTTCCAGGAAAGTCTGTTTGTTTTGATGACTAGTTTATTTCCTTCCTATTGGGATAAAAGTTCATGTCAGCTCTCGGAGGCTTTCTATCCCGCTCATTCTTTTAACTGGACTTGGGAAGTGGCTTGGAATTCCTCACAAGTCAGGGGTTTATTCTTAGGTGTCTGCTAGTGAACATCACCTTCCTCTCCCTCTGACTGCCATGTAGGGTTGGGTATTCTTGGGCAGAAAAGCGATTGATGGTCACCAGTTGGCTGCATGCATGGTTGAGCCAGGTCAGGAAGTTAAGAGAATTCATTTGATTTTCCTAAATACATTTCAGTTTCCGTATCACTCTGATCTGCTATGGGAGGTCTCAGCTATCCAGGGACAGAAACAAGGGGGTGAATAACAAGGGGAAAGGAAAAAGACCTGGGTCTTTCACCCTTACATCAGTTTTGCCACCACCTACGCACTCTCCTCTGTGCTCCCGAGGTGTGAATGTTTTTCTGGTGGGGACCATGACTGAGGACAAGAAAAGAGGTCAATTTTGAAGACACAGGAAGAGAGCAATTCAAGAAACAGTTTTAAGAATTAATATGAAAATAGGGAGAAAGAAACAATGAGCACAGAGATAAAACATTACTATTGTTTAATATGGAGTAGGATATGTTGAAAGGTATATGAATCAAGGACCCATCCAAACATGTTCAAAGAAAGAGGCCAGGGAGCAACTGAATTACAGATCTATAGCCTAGAGCTTTTTGTAAGTTAAAATTAAAACTTGAAGAGTTATTTTCCCTGGACATCAAGTAGCTCAGTATTCATCCCAAGGAAAGATGAGTATAAGGCTTGACCAATGTATATACTTGTGTAGAAGTGCTTCTAGAATGGGACAGAAATGTCCCATTAAATGCTTTCTTATTCACACAAACCGTTCTGTGTAATCAGATTTGCCTATGCACCTTTGACGAAATTCGCCCTTTATCTTATCCTCTGAGCCCCTCAGGTAAGAGAAACTAGGGAGTAGAGATCTATCAGGACCCCTCCACCATCACTGGATGACGTGTTTGCGTAGGACCATGTTCTTCACAATGGCCTCACATCCTTGTTCCTGAGGCTGTAGATGATTGGGTTGAGCCTAGGGGTCACCACCCCATCGAAGAGGGAGGTGAGCTTGTCTGAAACATCCTGCTTGCCTGCCCTCAGTGGTGTCCTTGGATTTGGACTTTCTGTACACAAAGAGCATGTTCTATAGAACCTTGAATGTGAGGTAGGCAGAGCAGGTAGAAAAGGCCTTTTTCCTTCTCTGAGCTGGGGGTGTCCTCAGGTTGGTAGCAATGATAATCACATAAGAGATGCGCATAGTGAGCTGGATTGCCCAGAAAAATCACATTGGCCACTGCCATAGTGATCAATCACATTGATGAGATGTCGGCAGAGACCAACTTCAGGACAACCAGGTTCTCACAGGTAAAGTGGTTGATGAAGTTGTCCTCACAGGAGGGTAATCATGTCACTAAAGATGTTTGCACCATGGCAGTCATGCTTCTGGCTGTCCAGGAGCTGACAGCCATGGGCACATAGGCAGCTTGCTCATGACCAGTAGGTACCTGAGGAGGTTACAGATGGCCAGATAGAGATCAAATGCCATCATGCCCAGAAGCACACACTGTGTGGCTCCCATGGCAAAGGAGAGAACCATCTGCACACCTAGGCAGAGAAGGGGATGGTTTTCCTGCAGATTAGGAAGCTGTTGAGAATGAAGGGGCCTGAGGTGGTTGTGTAGTGGATCTACAAGAAGGATGGGTTCCCAGGGAAGTACATGATCATGTGTTGGTAGGAGTTGGACACAGTCCCCAGGATGAGGACCCCATTGCCCAGCAGGAGCACTAAATAGATCATGAGGATATGCACAAAGAGCATTTGGCATGGGAGGAAGGTCTGGGGCTGTGTGGGCTGCAGGGGATTTAGGAGACCAGAATACCTTCACATACAAGAAGGAAAGAGATTGGGTACATCTCATGTAGAGGCACTAAACCTAATTAGGAGTGAAGGTAGAAGCTACTGGAGGGTAGAGTTAAGCATAAATCGAGGAAGAGTTTGCAAAGGCTGAAGGAAAAAGCTAGACTCTGGAAGTATTGAATTCTTTGTTACTGGAGATGTCCAAGAAATGCCATTTGACTGGGGTCAGGGACATCGGAGAGGAACAGCACGCATCCTGTGCATAGGGTTGAACAAGAAAATCCCTGAAACCTCTTCTAACAATGATGTTGCATGGCTCTACTAAGTGTCTGAAGTTTGCTTAAATGGCCACTAGATGGCCTTTGTGTATTTGTAAGAGCAAGATTATTCCCTGCTAGTGCAGAGTAGATATTAGTAACAGGATTAACATTAGAATCAGAAATTTTATTAAACAAACACTATTCCTTAGGCAATTCATTCCTAATAAATGTAAGAAAATGTAAATATCACTTGATCAAAAACTTCCAAAATCTGTTCTCACAAAGGATTCACTTTCCAAATTCTCTTTTTAAATATGTGTGCCATATTCAAAGAATTTCATAGAACTTGCCATAAAAATGCTTCTATTCACCTGCTAACACCTCTGAATCTCTCATTTACCTTGTGTGTCTATTGCTGTATGTACGGATGGTGTCTTACTCTGTTCCACATGGCACACAGCACTGGGCAACATTCATGATACGACCAAAACTGGTATCTAATAGTTGCATTGTTCTTATCATTTACAAAGCACTTATCTATAGTAACTAATTCATGTAAAATCATGTGGTTATGTGTAAAATATGAAGAAATAGACTGAAAAAGGTTAGGCAACCCACCAAAGGTCATAGGTAAGAAAAAGCTTCCCTGTTTTTATCCTGCTGAACTATGGAGGCTCAGGAAATGCTACCAAGTTTACATCTCTTGAACATTCACAGTGTACTGTGGCATATTAAAGACTCTGAGAAATCCTGGAACAAAGAAACGTATCAAATGTTAGCCCCCCAAAGTCTTCAAATATATTTAGCATCACTCTATCTGATTGGTTATCTATATTTCTATCATCTTTCTTTTTTCCAGAATGTGAGTTATTATCCAAATACTAGCTTTTTAGTGGGAATTGCTGTAAATGATGAGCATCAAATTCAAACTCTATACTCCTTCTTGCCGTTAACTTCCTAGCAGTGTTTCATAATGTGAAGTGCATTAAAAAAACCTTTAATTTTCTCATAGCTAAAAAGAAATGGGGTGTTCAGAATATCTTGTTCCCACCCAAAAGCTCTCTATGTAAAAAACTTGTCTTTGTCTCTTCTTATACTTCAGCCAAACTGACTGTTTTCCAAAAACAGTCCAAAATGAAAATTCCCACTTCCTCCTTGTTCCTGTGACTCTTCCTGGGGAATCTAGGAGGGATGGCAACAGTGCTGGGAGCACCCTCTCTCCTCTGTGCATGGCTGTGTAAGTAGACGCAGTGCAGGCCACTCACCAAGCTCGCTCTGATGGCTGGCTCCTCTCTCCTTAGTTTTATCACGTGTTCAGAATGTCTTTGTGTATCCAATTAGAGATCTGTTGTGTGGCATCTGTCAAAACTCTCAGCTGTGTGGCTAGAACTCAGAAGATATACTCTGAAAAGTTAAACATTCTCTGAAAATGGACTGAAGGTCAAGAGAGGATTCTGGATTACATGACTTGTCTTTTTGAAGGCAGCTATAATGATCCGAAGTCCTTTATCTCATAGGGTGGGAACACAGAGGAGCCCTCCATCACTGGGTGAAATATTTCTGAGCCACCAGGCTCCTCACAGCAGCCTTCACATCCTTGTTCCTGAGGCTGTAGATGATGGGGTTGAGCATGGGGGTCACCACCCCATAGAAGACGGGGATGAGCTTGTCTGAAAGGTCTTGTTTGTCTGTCCCCAGGGGATCTTTAGACTTGGGCTTCCCGTACATGAAAACTAAGGTCCCATAGAAGATGAGCACCACAGTGAAGTGGGCAGAGCAGGTGGAGAAGGCCTTTCTCCTCCCTTCAGCTGAGGGGATCCTCAGGATGGTAACAATGATGAACACATAGGAGACAAAAATGAACAGAACTGGGACCCCCAGGAAGATCACATTGGTCACCCCCATGCTGATCACATTGATGGAGATGTCAGTACAGGCCAACTTTAGGACAGCCAGTAGCTCACAGGCAAGGTGGTTGATGACATTGTTCCCACAGAAAGGCAGCTGAATTGTCAAGGTTGTGTGTACCACAGAAACTGTACAACCAATAGCCCAGGAGCTGGCTGCCATGGGCACATATGTAGCCTTGCTCATGACCACGGAATACCTAAGGGGGTTACAGATGGCCACATAGCGATCAAATGCCATCATGCCCAGAAGCACACACTCTGTGGCTCCCATGGCAAAGGAGAGAAACATCTGCACGGCACAGGCTGAGAAGGAGATGGTTTTCCTGGGGGTCAGGAAGCTGTCAAGAATGAGGGGGACTGCAGAGGTTGTGTAGCAGATGTCTAGGAAGGAGAGGTTCGCCAGGAAGAAGTACATGGGCGTGTGTAGGCGGGAGTCAAGGATGGTCACTAAGATGAGGACCCCGTTTCCCAGCAGGATGACCAGGTACATTAGGAGGATGAGCACAAAGAAAATTTTCTCCAGCTTAGGGTGGGCTGAGAGCCCCAGGATAATGAACCCTCCCACAGGGGAAGACCAGTTGGCTTTTTCCATATGCTATCCCTTCTGTCATCAGCCAAGGACAAATGCAGCACATGAGGCTTTCTTGAGGAGGTCTTAGGCATCTGGTACACCATTACTCTGTGCTACAGAACAGGACAACATAGGTGCATAAGAGATAATTGACTGAAAGAGACAGTAGGTAGGATTGTGGTTAGATCTTAGATGGGGAATGGTCAGGGTTGGAAGAGGGCTTACAAATACTGCACTGAGGCCCCGAGAGGGGAAGTGACCTGTCCAAGTCTTCTGAGCAAGGTGATGATAGAGACAGGACCTGAGCCCAGCAGAGGTAATGCCCAGTCAAGGAGGGCTTTTCCTCTCTTTTTGATGAACATGGGAAAATGCTGTAAATTATTTCTATTTGATGTAAATGCGTAGAAATTTCATTTAATCTGGGCTTTCCTAGATTCTTAGAGAATTCCCAAGCTGATCCTATTCTTAAAACTACCAATATTTCAAGCCTCATTAAACTTTGATTACATTTGGAAGGAACTTGTTTAAAAGTGCTAATCCCCATGGAGACAGAATAAAGCCTAGGTAAAAGTTCAACCATATGAGGGAACCTTCCTTAGTCTGCAGACCCTCGGCAAAAGACTTAACTATTTTCAGAATTGGGATCTGCCTATTCTAATACATATTAAGGGCAATATGTGGGGGAGGTTCCCTCACGGGGAAGAATTCATGAAGGCCACAGAAGGAGTAATTGGAGTGAGTGAACCCACACTATGGGATGACAGCCAAGCAGCTTACTGACCAGTTAACTCAGTTCTTAATAATCGGGCAGACTGTAAGTTATCAGACAGCAGGATGTATGGCATTAACATCTAATGCCAGCTCATTAGAGTTTGGTGAACTCTTAGCCAAGGGTGTGTAAGGAATGGTTTTCCTCTGTCCTTTTATGTTTATACTGTATTCTTATGTAATATTCTGGCTTTCTGCCTCCACTCTTGGGTTCCCTGCAAGCACTTAGCTTATGGGAAGACTTGCATGCCTTTGGGTAGAGGATTTACAGACTCAGCTACCTTTGCCAGACTCTGTATTCAGAATTCTTATTTGTAGTATTTCTATAGGTCTTTCTTTTAAAAAATTGTTTTTGAAGATTTTATTTATTTACTTGACAGAGAGAGAGATCAAAGTCGGCAGAGAGGCAGGCAGAGAGAGAGGCGGATGGAGGCTCCCCGCTGAGCAGAGAGCATGGTGCTCAATCCCAGGACACTGAGATCATGACCTGAGCTGAAGGCACCCTGTTATAGCTCTTTCTTAATGGCAGTGGTGTGTACACACAAGTATATATGTGTGTCATGAGTGTGTGTGTGTGTAGGCGTGTGTAGAGGGTAGACGAAGAGTGGTTAATATTAATGAACATCTATTTTCTGCCATATTCTTTGAAGCAAGTGATGGAGAAGACACTGTCATTCAGGTGTCATAGGTAAAAGAAAGCAAAGCTCAGAGGAGCCAAAGATTTGGTTCTTAAGATTGAACGCCATTGCCAGGGTTGGATCATAGGCCCCACATCTGGGTTCTTCCCACCAAATAGCTGCCGCACTGTCTTGCACAGATGTTGCAGAGTCTGTCTCTGCAATACCAGCTCTGTGGCTCTCTGCTCTGTCTCATAGCCCAGCCTGCTCTTACTTCAGTCATGGTTGGAGTTTATGTGAGATACTCTGTCAGGCAGAGTGACTCCCGCCCTGCACTGACCCCAGACTTTGTCAGCCTCGGCACTAGTGACACTTGGGGCTGGAGCGCTCCTTGTTGTGTGGGGCTGTCCTGTGCATCGGAGGATGTTTAGGACCATCCCTGACCTCTGCCCACCTGCTGCCAATAGCACTTGCTCCTTGAGCTGTGACCACCAAATGTGTCTGCAGACACTGCCAGATGTTTCCGGGAGGAGAAGGAGGTACAAGTTGTGCCCTGCAGAGGAGCATTGCTTTAAGCTCTAAGCCAGGAAAGGTCTCCCCCGTGATGCCACCATGGGTTTCATGGTATTTTCTGTGCAGGCTTAGGGCCCTTCCTCCATCCCTCAATTCAGCACGTGAGGGTGCTCCCGTCTGCTCATGCAGGCCCACTCTGGGTGTTCCGCCATGAACCTCTGCCCCAACTTGTGTCCCATGCCTCCCAGTGGCTCTCCCAGCCTCTTCCTTTTCCCAGAAAAAGCAAAGGAAACACTGCAGTCCTTGCCACAAGCAGGATTCAATAGTGATAAAGATATGCTGTGGCTGGAGAGGCCAAGGAGAGTGGCTTCTGTTAGAGAAGCCATCCTGTCCACTCCCGTGAGCCAGAGCTGTGCACACAGAAGCTTCTTCCCATGAGCAGTGTGCTGTGGGCGTGAGTGATGCGCAGATTTGACCCACGTGAGAGCTTCTGCCCCAGAAATCCTTAGTGCCCACCATGTTAAAGTTGCTGAATGAAAGCTAGTACGATTGGGATGAATGGAATGGCTAGGAGGATCTTGCACACTGATGCCAGCTGGTCCATATCCATGGATATGGATATTCCATGTAGCTAGAGCAAGTCCCAGGCCTCAGTTTTCCCATGTGCATCACTAAAATGCTGAACCATTGCCTCCGAGGGCATCCCAATTCTGTCATGGAGTGCCCAGCACTCTCCTCACCAGGCAGGGACCAGTTTTGGGTGAAGGTGACAGCTTCTTCCTTTGGGTGAGTGTGTGTGTGTGTGTGTGTGTGTGTGTGAGAAGAGGTGATCTGAATGCTTGGTTTCCCATCAAGATATGGTCAGCAGGAAATAGTGCTGTGTCAGGCTTTGGAGGAGACTCAGGATGGAGGGAAACAGAGAGCTCTGACACAGTCCTAGGTGGACTGGAGTCAGCCTGTGAGAGCAGGAAAGGAAGGGAAGCTCTTACCTTTGTGGCTGTGTCCTACAGGTGTGACACCTGGGTCTCATCACTAATTATCTCTGGAGCCATCAGGCATCTGAGAAAAGGAAGGGAACAGTGGGTGGCTCAGTTGGGTAAGCAGCTACCTTCAGTTGAGGTCGTGATCTCGGGATCCTGGGATCGAGTCCCACATCAGGCTCCATGTGTGGTGTGGAGTCAGCTTGACTCCCTCTCCCTCTTCCCCTCCCCACCACTCATGCTCTCTTTCTCCCTCTCTCTCAAATCAATAAATAAAATATTAAAAAAGAAAAGAAAAGGAAGGACACACAATGCTGTCCAGAGCCTCATGCATTGTCACACAGCCTCTCTGGAGAGCAGTTTGCATAGAAGAACAGAAACTAAAAAACTCCTATAACTTAGCAATTTCTCCTCTGGGAACAATGAGAGTGGAGGACCAGTGTCTCTCAATAAAGACATTTACCACAACCGTAGTATGCATGAATACAGGAAACAGAATAACTGTCTACCAATAAATACCTGACAGTGCACTTCATATAATGGAATTTTAGACATTAAAGTTATATTTATAATTTTTACACAGCTGCATCATTACCCTTCAGTAATAAATGAGAGAATACAAAATTGTACATGCTTGTTTGATTTCTATTAGGAAAACAACATATTTTATTAAGAGTGACTGAAAGAGGGGTACCTGGGTGGCTCAGTGGTTTTAGCCACGGCCTTCGGCACAGGTCATGATCTCAAGGTCCTGGGATCGAGCCCTGCATCGGGTTCTCTGCTCAGTGGGGAGCCTGCTTCCCCCTTTCTCTCTGCCTGCTTCTCTGCCTACTTGTGATCTCTGTCTGTCAAATAAATAAATAAAATCTTAAAAAAAAAAGAGTGACTGAAAAGAAGTTACAGCAAAATCAATAGGGATTCCTCTTTGTACCTCTTCAATATTACCAGATTTTCTTTTTTTTCTTTTTTAACTTTTTAATTATTTTGACAGAGAGAGAGAGAGAGAGAAAGAGAGCAGTTGTGGGAACGGTTTGGGGAACGGAGGAGCAGGTGGATTTCAAGCAGACTCCTTACTGAGCTCAGAACCCAAAGCAGGCTCAGTCACATAACCGTGAGATCATGAGCTAAGCTAATATCAAGAGCAGGAAGCTTAACCACCAGAGTCACCCAGTGCCATGATATTATCAAATTTTCTTTTTTTTTTTTTTTTGGATTTTCATGAAATGATTTTTTTAAAAGATTTTATTTATTTTATTTGACAGGCAGAGATTACAAGTAGGCAGAGAGGCAGGCAGAGAGAGAGAGAGGGGGAAGCAGCCTCCTTGCTGAGCAGAGAGCCCAATGAGGGGCTTGATCCCAGGACCCTGGGATCATGACCTGAGCCGAAGGCAGAGGCTTTAACCCACTGAGCCACCCAGGTGCTCCCAAATTTTCATTTTTTAAAAAAGATTTTATTTATTTATTTGACACACAGAGAGAGAACACAAGTAGGCAGAGAGGCAGGCAGAGAGAGAGAGGGGGAAGCAGGCTCCCCGCTGAGCAGAGAGCCCAATGAGGGGCTTGATCCCAGGACCCTGAGATCATGACCTGAGCCAAAGGCAGAGGCTTAACCCACTGAGCCACCCAGGTCCCTCATTATCAAATTTTCTAATACAATGTGTAGAAACTTGTATTCAGGGAAAAACATTCTCGATATGATAACGTCACTCACTCACATTTTGCTTTCCAAAGCTTCAGTTCCCACCCTGCCATCACCTCTAACTATGGTTTAGAGCAGAAGATAGCATTTCTGACCTGTGGTCACAAGGTCAGGAGTAGCCTTATGTTGCATCTCACTGTCTAGGTCACTTACCTCACTGTGGCTCATCATGTGGCCATTTTTCATCTTGCATTGTCACAGGAAGAAAGGGAGTCCAGTATAATAAGATACTGTGAGGGAGAGACCATATTCATATAACTTTATTATGTGATGTTATAATTGTTGTATGTTATTATTGGTCATTGTTAACCTCTCACTGTGTCAGATTTATAAATTAAACTGTATCATAGGTACATGTATATAGGAGGAAGGGGATACATAGAGTTCAGTACTATTTGTGGTTTCAGGCATCCACTGGGGGTCTTGGGAGGCATCCCCATGAAT